TTTTTTTTTTTTTTTTTTTTTAGTTGTTTTTATTTAACAAAAATTATTTTAATTATTTTTTGTTAATTATTTCAAGATTAACACGTTTATATTAATCATGTGGTCGCAACAATAATAATAACAATTAATAATAATATTTAAAATAAAATAAAAAAAAAAAAAAGCAACGATTATTGATCAGTCGCAAGATCTTCCTTTACAGTTATTTTATTATTTAAGATAAAAAAGACACTTTTGCAGCGAAATAAATATTTTCGATTAACGCACAAATATATATACAAGAAATGAAACAAAAAAAAATGCTTTGTACGCTACAACATTTAAAAAAAAAAAAAAAAAAAAATCAACAAAAAACTGCACACACTGTCACCGTACATTCCGAATAAATATCTCATGTTAATTAACAATTAATTAACACGTGATATATATATATATATATAATATATATATTATATATTTATATATGATATATATATATAATATATATATGGTTATATACATTATATATATATATATATATTTATAACAAAAATCGAACAAAACTAAATAATAATAATTAAAATTAATATTTTGTTTCTTTTTCTCGCTGCATAAATATATGAAATGAAAGATTTGAAATTTTTTTTTCGTTGTTTTGTGTTTTTTTTTCTTTTTTTCTCTTACACACTCTCTCACTCACTCTTTTTTTTAAATCTCGCTTTTCAAATTACCACTTGAAATTCGGAAAAATTCTAATTTTACTGTATAAAAATATTATTGAAATAAATAATAATAAAAAACAAAAAAAAAACAAAAGTAGGAAATCGTTAAACGTATACAAAAAAAAAAGAAAAAAAGGTTTGTCATATAAATAAATATAAATAATTTTTTAAATACCTATTTATAATTTGTTAAACATTTACGAGTAAAAGAAACACTGTAAAAAAAAAAAAAAACAGTGAAAATGTAAAAAAAGAATAAAAACGTGTTAATCTTCGTTTAACAAAATAAAAAATAAATAATAATAATAATAGTAATAATAATAATAATAATAAAATAAAAATTAAGTCAAAATCCAATTTTGTCGAAATATCTTTTTAGAATTTAGTCCAGAACGTTGTATACATAAGAGTAAATAATAAAATACAGTGAAAAAAAAAATATATATATATATATATATATATAGATATACATACACACACGCATATTTAAATTTGTACAAATGAAAAAAAAAACAAACAAACAAAACAAAAAATGCTACGATTCGACCAAAGCTAATGATTTAATTTCTATCATGTTCAAAATTCTAGAGTAACATTTTACTCTTGCACAAAAACATCAAAATACATTTATTTACGCACTCAATATATACATATATATATATAAATAAAAATATAAATAAAAGCTATACGCATATGTATAATATAAACAAAACAAAAATGGAATTACAAACCAATAATGAAAGGTTGATGCAACGAAAGGAAAAATGTTAATTATATATTAAACACTAGATGTACCACCATTTTCACTATACCTATTTCTACCACGCTAGTCAAAATGACTGGTGTATACCAGTAAAAAATACTTTTTGACGCTTCCAATCTTTATTTACTCTTAAAAACATAACAAACAATGTTTAACAATAATAATTTTAATAGATAAATGAATTTATAAACATTTTTAAATAAAAAAAAACGCTTAATTATTTACAGAACTCAAAAGTTACATGTGAAGTAGACATTTTTGAATTAAAATGGCCTGATCTGTCAAAATGATTGGTCTGCTGGTATATCTAGTGTTAACACACATCCACACACACACACAGCAAATAATTGCAAGTGAGACACATACTACATACGACAAATAATATTAACAATTATAAAAACAAACCTAACTTAACTTAACCTAACAAATCAATCAATCAATCAACAACAACAAATTGCACAATTATGAAAAAAAAAAAACGATGAGAAAGGAGGGACTGGGGAGGAGGGAGTGTTGT